AACGCGAAAAATTTCCCCTGAGGTAATAACGTGTAACGTTACTCCAGAGGCGGCAGGTGAGGGAGGAGGATAGTATTTTATAAGTTTCATTCGCCCGCAGGGACTCTGGCTGAAGGGAAGGAAAAGGGGTTGCTGGGATGGGTGGGATTTAATGGCTGCATGGCGTAGATCCTTTGTCGGTTGGCTAGGCCACGTATGTATCTTTGAAGTGGAGAGAGTGAGAGGAGTGATGGATGGAGAGGAGGAGAAAGTATATAAACCGTCCGAACCACTGAACCCACAGCCTTTCCTGTGTTCTTTTAACATTGCATTGGTTCATTCGATAATCCGTATTGCGTCTCATTTTTTTGTCACACCAGCGTAATTCTTGTCGGCTTTCAAAATATCGTTGAACTCGATGATTTTATGAATTTTTTGTTTTTGATGCAATCTTAATGTTTGATACTACAAATTCTTCATTTCATAGGTTTTTCTTTTCGTGACACGCAGTTGTGGGAATAGTAATGCCAACCATTGGTATCAAGAAATCGGTGATCGATCGCCACATGCGCACAGTGTATTGTAAGTTCTGCTTGTATTTTCTTCTTAATACCGTGCATTGATGTCTTCTCGTGTGCTGACCCGTTTTATCTCCCCCAGAGCAGTACCCGGTGCTTCCAGTGCAACCCCTGAAGAAAACGGCTTCCTCTGCCACTTAAGTATTACTAGAACGGGAAAAGCCAGTGTCAGGTGGTTGTTGAATTCACCGTTGGTAGGCCTGATTCTACTTAATGCACCTTGGATCTCGATACTTGGAGAATTTGAACTGCATAAATGTAGAAGCTTAAAAGTTATCAGTTGTATGTGTATGTGTGTTTACAGCTAAGGGATGAAAAACAGACAAACATTCTTACATATTCTCAGCACATGAGAATATTCCTGCTCAATTCCATTTATTAATTGCACCTTGGTGTATCGATGCTTAGAGAATTTGAACTGCATAAGTGTAGAAGCTTGAAATTTACTAACTGCACCTGGTCAGTGCTTAGTGAGCCCCGGGCGGTCCTAAGGAGCTCAGTTTGAAAACTTTTGGTCGTGCGTGATTGGGGAACATTCCCTCAAAGTTTCAACTTTCTAGCCTTTCTCATTCACGAGTTATGATTTTCCCCGTGCATTTGAAAATGTATAAAAAAGAAGTAAATTTTGGAGGTAAATTTACGGTTTTCTGATTGGAAATGAACTCTTTTCACAGCACTTATCCACAGTACGCTTAATAGCATTATCTGTGAAGTGGGAATTTTTAAGTTATATATGTATTTTCGTTTATTTTTCAAATATACGTCAAAAAACAGCTCATGTTTAGCTCAGACATAGTAAAATTGTTGCCATCATTTCTTAAACGAGGGGTATGTTATTTCGTTGACTGGCGCTCGGTAACTTTCCTTTAATATCACAAACACTGAATATATAGTAATTGTTTGGGTGGTTTGAAGGACTTAAACTCAAATCTTCCCATTCCATTCCATTCTATATAGTGTAAATGGGAATTACATCCGAAATTATTGCAGTGACACGATATGTTTTGCTCATTTTCTGTATGAATGCTAATTTAAAAAAAAAAAAGGAGAAAATTTCAGCACAAAAGCAATTCGAGGATTTGTTATTTGACTATGGCCTGGAGCTCGATGAAGTGGTTAGTCCCACTGATTTTTGAACTATACTGAACCATTGAAGAAAACATATTGCTGCATTGCCACTTTGTCGAATTGTATCTTTATTTTTAGCTCATCATTCTCTTGGCAGGGCCCCAAACTTGCGATTGTGATTTTGGCATTGGATTTCTGGGATACAGTTTTGTGTCAGTGAGTCCGGAATTCCGTGATTTGATATTTGAAGATTTGGATGTTTCTGAAGAAAATAAGGAAACTTGGGGATGTGTTTTTGGTTTTCAGTGACTTTAGTCAATACGATTGTATAAAAAAACTGGGTGAAAAAAATTAGCCGATTGATTGTTTTGAATTAAGTGGTAGAGCGGCGGCTATAAGAATTGAGCTGTTGACTGTGAAAATTGAATTTCCGA